TGCAATAGCCTGGCAAACCTGTCAAGTGGGTACCCCACACTTTACCCACAGACTGCTTAAGGCACAAGCCCAACCATGAGCCTGACAGGGAACCAGAGGATGGATGAATTTAACTGAATTTCTGTTGAAGGAAAAGGAGCTAAAAGCTACAATTTGCTTTATTCTGAATCAGACCAAAGTCTGCCTTAATGGCCAGTACCATGCATGTTTTAGATGTGCTTCAGCACACCTGGATCCAAACATCATTTAACTATTAAAACCATCAGTGTTAGAGTATGAATAAATATCTATACAAGTACCAGAAATGAGCCTGAAGAACTAATAAGGGTGGAGCTATTCATAAAAATTAGATGTAGAAATGAGAACAAAAATCCTCTGGTCTGAACAGGTCAAAAAACTATCTGCAAAAAAATATTAGGCCCAAGAAGTGAAACTTGTTTCCAGACAGAATTTTGAATGAGAAAAGTAGATAGTGAATATTGAGAAAGGTTTGTGTATAGGTTCTGCAGCTGCTGAAGCATGAAAAACACAACATCATTCATGATTCTCCCTATGGACATCTCCCTGAGTTAATCGTCACATTACATGGGAGCTGATTTGAGACAAAGAACTAATTCTGTTGCAAAGCTCATGTGTGGCTGTGTTTTATTGTTTTTGAAACCACTCCCTCTGGAGACACTGTTTGGGGTTAATTGGCTTAATTGTCCACACCTCTGAATAAAAAGCATATCCTGAGAGGATAGCTGAGCTCCATCTCTCTTGTGTAACAGCAGTCTGTTGTACTTGTGCATAGTTTTACCCCTGGTACAACTCATTATACACTTTAGTTGCTTTTTCAGCAATGACTTGTTTTCAAAAGTCTTCCCACCTCTAGTCCAAGATGTAACTCAGGTATATAACTGTGCCCCATGAGTTATCAGTGAAGCTCAGTAGAGCAGCTGACTGCTATAAGTGAGCCATAGGTTGTTTTAATGTCTTATTAAAAGACGAGGAAGCTCATTTTTATCTCTTTGCAGGTGCTGAGGTTTGATGTTCACAATATTTAATCTCCAGCCCAACAAACATCATATTGCCTCATTCAGCTGAAGGGGAATCTAATTACTATCAATTTCATTTCATTTTAATACAGTAGTTAATGTGACCTATATTTCTTCATTCTGCTTCATTCTATCTCTATTTTCCCACTCTGCAGAATCTGTTAGTTCAATCTCTAACGTTCTGCTCTCTCTCCTTTTACTCATAGTAGCTTCATCTGGTCTGTTCCTGTTTGGCTGTGACTCCATCCTGGAGAGAAATATCAGCTGTGCTGCTGCCATCAACACCTTTGTTTCTAGATGTTGGAGCTTGGCCTGTTTTCCAGTGTAGTCCTGTTTCTCTGACTGTGACTAACTGGATGTGCTCTCTTCATCCTCTGACATGGGAGCTGGATCGGAGCTCGTCTGCCTGGCTGTGTGTTTCCTGGACGGGGCCGCCTTTCACAGCTGCTTTTTGTATCTCTGCCTCTGTCTCCTTGAACCCCAGTCGGCCTCGGTAGATGGCCGCTCACACTGAGCTTGGTTCTGCTGGAGGTTTCTTCCTGTTAAAAGGGAGTTTTCCTCTCCACTGTCGCTACAAGCATGCTTGGTGTGAGGGACTGCATTCGAGTCAATGAATCGATGCAATCAGCTGGTTTTCCTTAGAAAACTTTGAGTCAATTTGACTGTAAGATCTGGGGAACTGTAAAGTGCCTTGAGATGATATGAGATGTCTTGTGAATTGGCGCTATAGAAATAAACTGAATTGAACTGAATTGTGATGAAATAAATACAAGATGGCACCTGTGTGATGCTGTTTATTTGTATTCAATGGGGTGACTTAGTAACCAAATCTTAGTCAATAAACAGACCCCCATTAACAGTGGAATTATCTTTACATCCCGTCAGTCTGTCTCTGCTTACTCTCGGCTTTTCTCTGGATTAACACTGTGATACACAAACAAACCCTAAAGTCTGCACTGTAGTGATGCAAAGCTCATGGTTTATAACAGTTTTTTGTTCCGAGTAGAGAAGTCTGCTGCAGACAGCCTCTCTGATCACCTCATTATCTCAGCTATGTAACTGTGTACAAACTCAAAATAATAACTATAATATATAAAGAGCATCAGCACTGTAGAGAATGTGGAGCAATAAAGTCAAAAGTGGGACGTGGAAAATATTTGCCTCATGGAGTCAAGTTTGGATAGCCTTTTTTTATCATAAAGATAAGAAATGAATTCCGCCTTCATTTGAATACATTTTTTTTTTCAGAACTAGAAGGAGGATTACAGATTACATAAATTAACAATACAAGTTCATCAGGTCCATACTTAAAGGGGAACACAGTTTTTTTTTACATTGGGCCCCCAATTTTACGTTATTACATCATGTTCTACTCACCCATTTGAGTTTTGTGTCATTTGGAGCTGTTCTGAAGATATGGTGTTCCCCTTTAAGTCTGTTACTTCCTACCCATTCTGATAACTTAGCTTTGGATCAAATGTGAAAAGGGGTCCTCAGCAAGAAAACCCAATTATATTTATTTATTTATTTATTTTAATTAGTAAGAAAAGATTTTAATGGAATTTCTCCATATTCCAGAGTTTAAAAAGAGATTAGATGTTAAACTGTGAATATTTCTGTAGTGCCACAGCCATAGTATTAATTTTGTACATTGGTGGAACAGGATGCAGGTTTATTTGGTCTCCAAGCTGCAGCCCCTCTGGAAAACTCTCCCATAAAGATGGGGTTTTAAAGGACCTGCCTGTCACTATGCGATCCGTCCCGGAAGCACGATCCGTTCTGCGCATTCGGCTCATTTGCGCATCCAGATATACATCCGGGTCGTCCTTGATTTTATTTAGTTAAAAATACCTAAATTATGTTTATCCCTCCCCAAAAATTAGTAAACGTACTAATGCATAATGTGTTAAAGGTTAATAATATATTTCCTGAGAAAATAAATGCCCTAAAATCCTTTCTGTTTTATCACTCGTTTCTGCCCGATCTGCACCGGAAATCGGATCTCACGCTACTTCTGGTGGCTAACTTTTTCGGCTTTGGATTTAAACATAAATCTAGTCTTTTTGAGTTTTATGGGTTTTTTACTTATGGACACCTGCATGTATATCTGTTCTCGCATGCGCAGGACGGATTGTGCTTCCGGGATGGATTGGGTAGTGATGCTGCCTGTTTGCTATAAAATCTGGACACCCCCACCTCTATTCCTCTCTTTCTCCTGACTCCAATAGAGTTCCACGTTAGGGAGGATGTCACCTGCCAAGGGATCACATTCTCCACAACCTATTCAAAGTTTGTCTGATAGCTGTATGATTTGTGATTCCTGATCTGTTAATTGTGTTTGAATGATAAAGATTTACCAAAGACTCCCTTTTTGAGTCCTGCTTGCTATCAGCTCATAAGCTAAATAAGCTAAAAAAGCTCAACCTTCTTTCAGGGTTCCCCTCCATTTTTAAAACCTCATTTAAAAAACAAATTACAAAACATTTAAAGTCAGTTTTTTAAATGGGTATTGATTTCTGAATGGGAAAATCATTGAATAAAATACAATTTTAACTAAATAAAAGTTTTTATTATTTGGATATTAAATATTTTTTTGTGATTTGAACACATCACATAACTAAAGTAGTTCAAAGGTTTATTTGACCTAATTTCAAACATTTCAGGGTAAACTTTGTTTCACAAATATAAAATTCAGGCTTAACTGTGATATCCTTGCATCTTTTTTTTACTATGCTTTTCAACCATTTTTACTAGGGATGCACGATATAATCGGCCCCCTATCGGTATCGGCCTTGAAACTGAATATCGGACATCGACCACCACACCGATATTTAACCCCATATTTCATCAGCTTCTGAGTTTCTAAAGTCTAAAAAAAAATATACTACTTCTTCCTCAAAAACTTCTTTTTTACAGACTTAAAAACTTCTAAAGACGAGGGAAAAATATTGATACATTAAAATATCACAATATCTTCATATGCTGATATATTGCCATTTAAAAACACCATATCAATCTCTTTTACTAATGAAATATTGCTATATGTCATCGTTACGAAATCCCCCGAAAATTCACAAAATGTTGCCATATTTTTATATGTTGATATATTGACGCGGTATCGATCTATTTTACTAACAAAATCTCACAAGAATTTGCAAAATATCACGAGAGTTTGTAACAGAACGATGAAATTTCACGAAATTTTGAAAGTAAAATAGATCGACACCGCGTTTTTAAAAATCAACTTGATATCAGTATATGAAAATATATTTGAGTATATTATTTTTCAAAGTGTCAGAAATGGATAACAAAACTGCTATTTTCAATGACTACTTATTTTTGTCCAGCTTTAACATCAGTATCGATATCGGTTATCGGCTACATGACTTTTAAAATATCGGAATATCAGATATCGGCCAAAATCCCAATATCGTGCATCCCTAATTTTTACCCACCCATCCCTATATAATCATAGTAGCGTTTAGTTTTAGAGTTAGTTCCATTAGTTTAGCAAGAGATTTTGACTGAAATATGTTTGACTTGAGTTGAATCACTTTTGTTAATGAATTAATATTTTCAAAAGAAATTGCTGTGGATTTCTTCAATATGTGTGTCGAGTTAACTGCTTGACTTTTATTTGAGCCTGAATCACATTTTCATCTGTTGTCCTAACAAGGCATGACACACTGAAAGTTATTTTATTAAATATTACATAACATAAACCAGCAAATTGTATTTATAAAGAATGGAGGATTTATCTGTCACTTAAAATTTGCATAACCTGCAATGATCTATACATCCCATATCCACTAATGAAAAGTTAATATTAAATCAAAGAACAAACACATTTTATTCATAAGTATACATAAGGTCACTTTTTTCAATTATTTACCTGTGTATTTTCAACAAACAGAGACATATTAAAACAAAGTTATAATAAACATAAATCAATAGGTCTCTTACCCTCCTTTGTGTATATCTGCTGACGGAGGTCGTTTACTTGCTGTCCCATCCTGGTGAACCTTCTTATCCAATGACATTGATAGAGGTGCATCTCGAACTGGCATCCCCAACACCAGCGTCTCCTTGGTAACAGAGACGGCCTCATCACCAGTTCGACCTAGGTGCTTCTTGGCGTAGTCAAAGCCCTGTACAGGCTAGCAGAAAGAAGACAACAGAGCAGGTCAACATTAACTCAGAAAGGACTTTGAGGTCATTTAATGCATAAAAGTAAAACAAACTGGATAAAAAGCAACAGCAAACATATAGTACATTAGCAGCAGGAAAAAAAAGGAAATTTGCAGATTTAAAGAATCAGCCTTAAAAGCTCAGAGGTTTTTCATACTTGCTGCAATAACCCATTGAATAAAAAATCATCAAGCTAAATGGCTAATAAATGATGACAAAATCTGAGCAGTTTCCGCCCTGCCACATTTCTGACTCAACAAAATAGCCAACTTATGCCAAAATGATTTAAAATTAATTAATATTAAGGTAGTAAATAACAATTAGTCCATGTTGCAATGATTGTAATTAAATAAAACATTTAATTTCTATCCACAAAACCAGGTAAATAGAAAGGGTTAGGAATAGAGCTGGTGGCTGTGGATCAGTGGCTCCCATCCTTACATATAGTTTCCCCTCAGGGTTCCCTTTTAGGCTGGGCTGCCTAATTAAAGTGAGGTGGTTGGGCTCAGGTCGGGTTCGGTTTTATGGTACAGGCTGGATTTTCTGGGCCCAGTCCTTACTCCATTGTGTGGTTGTGTTTCTCCACATTTCTGCTCACATCATAGAGTAAACTGGGTTGGGGGCAACTTTGTTTTGTTGTTTCTCTTAATTTTGTCCCACATCAAGCTTCAGTTGCTGTATAAATAAGCTCTAAGGAGACTGCTGTTTCACTTTCTAATCATTTTCTGTCCAGCACAACTGAATAGAAATGCTGAGCTGTGTGTTTGTGGACAAACCTCTATGGGGACGAACCTGACAGGAAACCACACACGGTTTATTCTGTGATTCAGAGATTTGACTCAGTTTTTTCCCCAAAGTACATGCTTTTTGTATTTTTCCACCAAATTAATTTTCTTATCTGACTCATGACTTCCTGTGAAACTACTGCTGATTTCAGACCAAGAGACTCGAGAGTGGGCAGCCTGGTTTAATCACTTCGATCAGATAGAATTCCTTCGATTTTCTGCAATTAAATTTTCAGTTTGATCACATGTTTAGTCACTCTGTGTGTGTAGGGCCTGAGGCTTGTTTGTACAACCATGCTATGAGTTGCACATTTGAAACATGTGGATTTTGATTACACTCCTTTAAGAAGAAAAAGAATCGATAGCAACCAGAATCAAGGAGGAATTGGAATCAGAACCAGAACTGTTCACATTTAAATGATGTACAACCTCATTCTATTCTATTCTCTGCTATTTGAATCTATTCTCTGCTATTCTATTCTAATTCACAGCACTGAAGAAAAAAGTTTGGCGTATGCTCAGATCTATGGAGCAGGAGAAAACCTGTATCATCAGGAACTAAGAAAAACTGAGGATAAAAGAGCCAAAAGTTCCATCATCTAAATCATCTCTAGATTATATGTCTTTTAGAAATTTTAATTATGTTGTAGTAGTTAGTCTAATATCCTCCTTATCCCTTTCTTTTTAAGCCATATTATACCATATTACTATAAATAACTGCACTGAGTCAGCCTGAACACCCACAGACAGCCTCCGTCAATTTAATCTTGTGGAAATCAGATTCAATAGCAACAACCATATAACCCCATATATATGGGGGAGGGCTACAAATTTGCCCTCAACTGTGAGCCTACAGTTTCGAAGTGAGATTCTCGCCGTTAGTGATCAAGGTTCAGGATTTGTAAATGGGGTTCCCGAAAGAAGCTTGACTCAGCAATCCTGTTTTGTTTTTTCCCCACATATTCCTTGATTTATTATTACACAAATTCTACCTTTAAAATGTGCTTCCCCTTATTAAATCTGACTCTCAGCCATGGCTTGACTTTAAATAATCACAGTGGTTCACTTGAGACCCTGTTACAATCAGCTAATACAAAACAACATACCATAGAGAGTCCCAGGTTTAGTTTACATGTGAGACTTATTTATTTAACGTCTGATTTATTGTTGTTATATTTTGTTTTACTTGCTTTTATTTAAATATATTGCATCTTAATCAATAGACACCAATATTCAAATTTCATTATTTAAATCATAAAATTAACTGACCATGTAGTTTATACGCAAGACAATTAGGGCCACTGGAAAAATTTTTTTAAAAAGTACCGTAAAATGATTTTAACTGGTTTATTTTATTTTAGCTTAATATGGGGAGAAAAAAAAAATCGGAATTCTGAGAAACAAGTCATAATTCTTAGTTTTTTCCCCATATTAAACTCAGATAAAATACATTAAAATCAGTTAACTTCTTTATTTTTTTTTCAAGTGGCCCTAATCCGCTTCTGTAAGTTTTTGTTTTTGCTGAGATTTTATTCATTTCTCAACTGAAGATAATACCATTTGCTTTCAATGCAACTGGTTTATCTGTATTAAGGTAATTTTGAGAGGATTTGATGTGTTTGAGAAAGCAATGGGCTTCAAACCATAGAATATCAACTTAGCAGCAAATAACTGAGCATAAAATCATTTTATTGTATTTTCACTGCTTCCTTCACCAAGTAGGTGATAACGACAAACAAAAATCTCATAAAAATTGATAGTTTTACGTAAAACAGTTTCAAAATGATCCATGGAGAACCAGCAGGCTTTTAGCTAGGAATATTTCATAGGGTGTACACTAAGGGTGTGCAAAATAATCGCCATGATGATGCATCGCGATTCTAATTTTTGTGATCTACTGCATCGATTCTTGAAGGCAAGAATCGATTATAAAAAAAAAAAATGAACAAATAAAACACATGAATGGTTGGCGCACATCAGCCAAACCAAGTGGAATACAACTTCCAGTCCAGCAGATGTCGCTGCGGATGTGTTGACGCCCGCTGCCTTGTGTCACAAGCATGTCCGGCCGCGGGATACTGCGACGAGTCATATGAAATTAAACATGGAGGACACTAAGAAAATTCGCCCCGCGGCTTCATCACATTTCAAGTTAAAATATCGCAATGCATCGCAATATTTAAAGTATCATGATGCATCGTGATAGAATCGCATCGTGGCATGTGAATCGTGATTCGAATCGAATCGTGACTTCTTTGCCAATACCCACCCCTAGTGTACACCTTGGTGTATCACATCTTTAGGCTTTGCAAGGCGTAGGGGGGTACATTTTCAAATGTAGACTCTCTAAAACACTTTTTCCTGCATTTTGATCTAGAATGCAGCTAACTTTTTGTCTTTTTTATAACACTACTTTTGTCCTGATTATGGGAAGTATGTGTGCTTGACTAGAGGTGGAAAATTCATAAGGAAGACATGAGATCATTTTTATGTACAATATAATGTTTTATAAGCAAATTCAAATAATCAGAAATTATAATGCTATGTTCAGACCGCGATTTGAGAAACAAAAAAGCTTCTGCTGCTTCATTTTTGATGCTTGTACACATCAAAGTCAGATGTGCATCAAGAACATCTTTGAAATTCCTGAAGCGAATCAAGTAACGTGTGTCTAGATGCGTCTGATGCTTCTGCTGCTCCTGTGTTCAATGGCAGAGAGCAGCTTTGCCATATTTGCTGCAATCAGTGGATAAAAAGTAGTTTTAATATATTTTTAAGTGAGAAAGTCCACCTCAAAACATCATCTGTACAGTCAGTTCATCAAGATTATGATCCTGCCTTAAAATATTATCAGAGACGCACAGGCCCCCATATACAGGCGGTGTACCGTCACTGTGAATCCCTAGCAGCAGCTGACTCAGGTCAGGACGCAACTTGGTGGGGTTCCGCTACTGTTGTTGGCGACTGGAAGTACTGGAGATGTTAACGTTTTTCAGGAATGTGGTACAAGCTGCAAGCACCAGGATAATAAAAGAAAACATATTTTGCTGACAGGTTTTGACATTTTAAGTTAATTTAGGCGTTAATTCTCCCTGCCAGCTCGCAGGTCAGCTTCTCTGATTGGTTGATGTGGTGCGTTGAGCAACAAAAATTCAATGTTTCCAACTGCAGCATCTGCTGCTTGTGAAATTTTGAACATCTGAGCTAAGTTTCCGAGGGGAAATTAGAGCATACCAAGCCATACAGTTTCTAATATTTTTGGTAAATGGCATACAATGTACACTTGTACGCATGCTTGCTAAAAAACTGACCAATAAAAAATGATAATGGAGCCCAAAATGCCCGGTGGTGCCAAAGATGAATCTCCATGCAGACAGGAGGCGAATCACAATAACCCTAAAAAGATGGTTTATCATGTTGGACCTCCAAATGAATCCTTTAGTTTCTTGCAGGTTTTTGATACAGGTTGTTATGAACCACATGCCTAGATTTCAAACTTCATAGCACAGAAGTTTGATTTCGGTTTACAAATGACTTAATTTATATGAAACTCAAAACCTGTCCATGAACATTTTGTAGATTTGGAAATTGGAAAAAATGCTGTCAATAATTCAAACTGCAGTAATTTGATGGCCTTCCTCTGTAAGCTATTTTTATCTGTCTCCAGCAGAGCTTGCATAACAAAAAGTAAAAAAAAAAAATAATAATCTGACATTGCAGCACCTTTGAAGTCAGGGGTTTTGTTATGAGGAGACAAAACACTAAAAAGGCATAAGAATATGTTTTTGACAGTAGTCTATAGCTGGGATACTGCATTACTTTATGGATAAATGTCTTAATTGTCAGAAACAGAGAAAAAAGGAACAAAAGACAGCCTTACGAAGATAAAACCTGATTTGATCTTTTGCTCCTCTTGTATTTTTAGCAGCACCAGAATAGTTGACGTCTAATGCATGTGACGATGCATGTTAAATTCTGAGTTTATGTAAGGTTAGGCAGAGCAGGCATCCAGGTGACGGCTTTGTTAATAATTTATCAGTCACACACATGGCTGTGCCTTCAGCTTATTTCAAACACATGGCTGCAGTCATGTTTGGGATTAATGAATATAAACGTATGTAGATGAAACACAAGCCTGCCCACTGTGTTATGAATACATGGATTGTTTGTTCATGTCTGTGGAA